ATATAGGTAGGTAATATATATAATAAGGCAATCATTATGATTGACGCGTGACGTATAAGAAACTCATAGGAAATTTTTGTTAGCCCTGAAAAGGGCTTTTTAGCATTGCGGTCGCTCGCGCATATTCGTATACGACGCGACACACGTACACTATTTATTTTTATAGGTATTATTTTTAAGAATAAAATAAAAATAAATAGGCCCGATGCCGCGGCGCTACGAGGCACTCGCGTTCACCCGCGAGGATCCTTCTCCTCTCCCGTCCCGTCCGTCCCGTCTTGCTGTCACTCTGCCTGCATGCACTACACAATCACATACGCGCGTGACAATTACGCGTACGAGTACGTACGTAGGTAGGTACGGCGGCGGTGGTGGTTATGACGACGGAAGGCGGTGACAGCGGACCTTACTTTTTAGAAGCGGCTGCCTTCTTCGATGCCGCCGCGGAAGGCTTCGATTTGGGTGTTGCCGCCTTCTTCGGTTTTGGAGCCTTAGGTTTCTTTGTCGGTGGTTTGGCGCTCTTTTTCGCCTTCGAAGCGGCGCCTTTCGCCTTAGAAACGCCGCTTTGGCCAGCGGTTGCGGATTTTCTTGCGGCTGCCGGCTTCTTTTTCGCGGCGGCCGCCTTCTTGTCCTTGGTAGCTGCAGACGGTTTTGCCTTAGACGGTGATGATGCGGTCGCTGCCGATGCTGCCTTTTTACCCTTACCCGCGGCGGTGCTCTTCTTCACCTTCGCCGACACCGAGCTAGCGGCGGACGCGCCGCTCTTTGCGCCACCGCTGCTCTTACCCGTCGACGGTTTCTTAGAGGCGGACGATTTTGATTCAAGCTTAAAGGAACCGGAAGCCCCCTTGCCCTTTGTCTGTATAAGCGCACCCGATTCGACTGCGCTCTTCAGGTACTTTCTGATGAACGGAGCTAGTTTTTCAGCGTCGACTTTATATTGAGCGGCAATATATTTTTTTATCGCTTGCAAAGATGATCCACTGCGCTCTTTCAGCTCTTTAATTGCGCTGGTGACCATTTCGGAAGTCTTCGGATGAGTGGGTTTCGCCTTGGGCTTCTTTGCACCACCTGCTGCAGTAGCGGCGGCCTTCGGTTTTTTCGCCGGAGTCGCCGGAGCGGGAGTTTCGGAAGCTACTGCTGTATCTGCCATTACTTCGTAGTAGTAGTATTAGATCACAAACGAACTACAAACACTGACTCACACAACTCGCGATAGATGATAATAACAAAGGAAAATTGTAAATTGTTGTTATATATCGTACACAAATTGATATTACGTAGGATAATACACAGGTGGCGACACTATCGCCACCTTACCCCCCCAACCAAAGCTTAACCGTAAGGAGAACCGCGGTGCTGCGAGACGTTTTCTCGTACGAACACTTCTAACTTTTCACTAGAACGTCTCGAATAAAATTTAATTTTTACCGTGATATATAAATATTATCGTATTCAGAAAGTTAATACGGTATATATTTGAGATTGTGCACGTAACAGACAAACCCGTTACGTATATAAGCGATCGAGAAACGAGCAATGGATGTTTATTTTGTTCACTATATTCTGAGCGTACCATGAGCCGCCTTTTAAAATGATTTTTCTCTATTTGCTCATTAGTTTAGTTAAATTTAAATCGGTCTATTGAAAGTTAATATCCTGAGGTTAGACAGAAGGCAGAGGTCACGCCGGTAATGCATTATTCGTAATGCAACGACCTATTATACGTCGAAGGTCGTAAAACACGAAGAGGTCTCGAGGCTCACAGACCGAAGTCCCTATACAAAGCGTACGATCTTTGAAAATAGTCTATAATATTTTAAAATTTGTCCACTGTAATCTGAAATAATTATTATAAATCATCATTATTTCTAGAATGTTGCAACACGTTCCCATACTTCTTTAAAATACGTACAAAAGCTGGGCACGCTTCAGAGCAACGTATGTTTATAAAGCGTTAAGTATTTAAAAAAAAAATGAAGTGTGATATTATTAAAATATAGTATATCATATTATTATGTATATATTAAATAATAAGGGAGATAAATAAGAGAGAAAAAAAAAAAATACAATTCGGAATTATGATAATATATTCCTAAGACGTTCGAACCATTATTTCAATATGGCGATATTTTACACTTGTTGTTTAATAGGTATCGTCAAATTTAAGAAGAGTATAGTCATTTAATGCCTACATGAATTGACGTTTCTTTCATTCAGATCAGTTTTTCGAAATTATTTCGAATTAAAAAAATAAATAAAAAATAAACCTAATTTTGTTCCGCGTTTAATTGGTATACATAAAAATCTTATGTGATGCCTTTACAGCTTTTAAATAACATAACTTTATAGACAGACACATCTAATTCTAATATGCACTTACATACATGATCATAAACACACATACATTCGCACTTATATACATAATCATGCCATTTATACACATATCCATACAACAAAATACATGCTTGCACATATCATTTCTTTTTTTTTTTTTAAATGACGATACTCTACGAAACAAATACAAGTTATATTGATAGTTTTGCGGCCCTGAAAAGGGCCTTTTTTTTTATTAACTTATACGATTAGGAAAATCGTCTCATCACGTAACTTAACTCTCAGAGTCCCGCATACCAAGTAGCAAATACACACTGCGCACATGGTGTACTATAGACGAACTCAGAGCGGACAGAGAGCCGTAGTACGTGGCGGTGGACGACGTCTTCATCGCGTATAAGAAATTAACCACCGAATCCGTAGAGGGTACGTCCTTGACGTTTCAGGGCGTAGACGACATCCATTGCGGTGACGGTTTTCCTCTTCGCATGCTCGGTGTATGTAACAGCGTCACGAATCACGTTCTCAAGGAACACCTTGAGTACACCGCGTGTCTCTTCGTAAATTAACCCGGAGATACGTTTCACACCGCCCCTGCGTGCGAGACGTCTGATAGCCGGTTTGGTGATACCCTGGATGTTATCACGAAGAACTTTTCTGTGCCGCTTCGCTCCACCTTTCCCCAAACCTTTACCACCTTTACCGCGACCGGTCATTTTCGCTTAGAGAAGAAAGACAACACACGAAATAATATATATACAGACTTAACGTACGTTACGAACGCACGACGACAGATAGACCGCACCTTTCGTTTTTCCCGTTTATATAAAGTCACCCAGACGACTGAGACGGCTGAGGCGAGGGTGCGGGGAAGTATAAAATGGCGGGCAAATAATAAGGCGAAGGCGGGGGGAGGGGAGGGGGGGGGGGGGGGGGGGGGGTGGATGTTTCGTGTTGCTGTAGATGGTACACGGAAAAAAAAAAAAAAATTGTCGAAATATCGTTTAAAATTTGGAAGAGGTAGTTAGTCTCTATATAATAATAAATAAATAAATTTGTCAGTTCGATACGCGCGCCATCTATTGTAAGTTTATTAGTTAGCAATAAGTTGACTAAATTTTAACGCAATCTGATGAACGGTATGGTAGCGCATTATATACGAACAAACAAAAATAAAATTTATATATTAGAATATAGAAAGGTATCTAATTAGTTACTACGTATAAAGTAATACGATTTTGTCCTGCGACAATGGTTAGACTCCATCCAATGAGTCCTGAGGTCAATCCGCATACTATAAAAAAAAAAAAAAAAAAAAAAGAGAAATTAGTCAATCCCCCATTAATTTTAATACTCAAAGCCCGCCATGAAATAATGTCGCGGGGTGAACGAGGTGTATATAAAGTACAGATAATATTATTGTCGAAACATGTCGTTTTCTATTTTGTATCACTTCATTTAATATGATTATCCAAAGTAAGATATTATAATTTATATTATTATGAAGACGAAGATTTTTATTTATTTAAAAAAAAAAAAAACTGCATCCTAACTAACAGAAGCGTTCTGCGCGTGAACATTGGTGGTGGTAGTCTTCGCGGGCAGCGGCGGCGCAGGCATCGTCGGCGCCGATCGTCGATGATGGTGATGAATGATCATCCGTCGTGAGACAGGTAAGCTTTACCCTACTGTGTATCTTATGATGTTAAATAGTATACAGTTTGTCGTCTATTATACTAGATTAGTACATCTATCTATTAATTTATTTAAACGGTATCTAAATAAACATTTCGATTTGCTGAGCCTTAATTCGATATTATGTTTTTGTTATCTCATAATATTACCATACCATACCATACCATCTATCTATCTATCTATCTATCTATCTATCTATTACTTGCTCGTTT